GGTTTGCAGTGACAGACGTGCAATGTTAACGAAAGAATGGAGACATTAAACAATGTTTTCATTTGAAACATCATCCCGTTTGGACCCACCACCTTCTTTGGTACATGTATCCCTTCCCCAGGGCAAAGTACATTGTGCACAACTCTATTTATTGGCATAAAAACATTATCAAATATTGATTAGTTTCAACAGATGCAGATGGGATATTTATAAACCTAAGTTTTGCTTTCATTTTCCCTCTTTTTTATCAGCTCCTAAATTAACAGGCCAAGCAGGCTACTTCACAGACTTCCATTTCCTGCTCTGCCAGTAAATTTAACTGTGACCCAATAGACAGGCATTGAGCACTAAGATTTTACTCTGCGTATTAATTTACTTCTGATCTTTTCATGGGCACAGAACACAGATTGGGTCTGATTGTCTGCTGCTTTGTGCAGTCTTTTACACTCGTGTAAAGGTACAATGGGCATTTTACACCCACTATTCACAGTGATAAGAGACTGCACAAAGTACAAGGCAATGGAGAATCAGGCCTGTCTAGTTTTACATGTACTGGCAGTGTGATGTGGATTACTGTCCACAAGGGGGTCAGTTCAGGCTACCGGTTTGCCCCTTATATAAACACTAAAATGTATAGGCTTATCTCTCTAAAGTCGGCATCACAAACAGGAAACAAAACAAGAAAGCTCCAATTATCTGAAAGCTACAGTGAATTCCTATTAACAAATAACTTTCTGCAACCAAGTAATCTTCTGAACTTCATTGACTTTCTGCTTCTGTGAAATATTCCCTCTGAACAAATTGCAGACATCTGTAATACATCCATTTCATTACACCCATTGTACTCGATGGAAAGACATTTGAAAATTTAACATTACAACCTCCAAGACACAACTCTACTAAATCGGACTTTTTTTCTAGCCTGATTTTATTCTAACTGCATATAGTAAGAATTTTTAGGAGCTCCACTGTATTGCTTTTAGGAACTAGTGTTATTATTCTATCAAGAGGAGACATTTGGTGCACTGCAACCAAATACTGTCTAGTTATCACCATTACAAGAAGGGCTGACCTGGGTTTACCTTCCCTCCCCCGGAAAATCAATTACAAACGTGTGCCTTTCTCAAATCATCCATTCAGATTGGATTTTTGTTTTCCAATTTCATCTACTAGGGGATTTTCGTCATAATCATCTGAGGAGAACACTTCCAAATCTCAGGAGAGAACGCTATATAAACAAAGAAGTTTTACATAAAAAACCCTTTCAAATCTGTTTTGTGTAAAGTGGGAACACACACACACACACACATATATATATATATACATATACATAGAGAGAGAGAGAGAGAGAGAGAGAGAGAGAGAGAGCGA